ATAGAACCCTTCACCAATTACTAATAAGAGTTGACTACCTGTTGTTCCGTTAAAAATATCTTTATTAATTCATCGTCTCTAAGCACCGGATGCCTTGCAATAAAATTCAAGAAACGAATAAGCCCTTTTCTTCGTTTTTCAAGGAACGACTCATCGACTGTGAAATAAAATCCGTTGACTATTTTAAGATGAAAGTTGTTTATTTTTGCCATTTTATATAAGCGAAATATGAAAATGCGCCAAAAAGAACGCAAAGTTAGATTTACCTCCAATTTTTTTGGGTGGCAATGCTGGTAGTATGCGGAAAGGATATTTCTTCTCAAGGCATTCCATTAACCACCAGAAATCACTGTATCGTCTCGTAACTGTTGATCCATGTCGCTTTTTTATTGTTATTTGTTTATAATTCAATATTGATACTTTGAAATAAAGAACTGACAAAAATTGAGGAATAAAAAATACCTGTGATTCTATAATATAATTAACATGTTTAAATATAAATCCTTCTCGTTCCGGAGCAAATTTGACAGTAATCGAATCCGTATCATCACACCATCGAAATTCTTCTTCACTTACTAGTAACATACCACCACCGCCAGCACCTCTACCACTATTACCACCACCACTACCATCAGATCTACCATTTGGTTGGATTCCCGGAACACTACTTGACTGTGATGAGAAGTCAGTCGTAATTTCTGGTATTGTGAAAGTGGGGACTCCATTCGACGTGGATTGTGACGGCATAGCCCATGGATCAGCTTCAACGGTGGGCGGTGTGATTATTGGCTGTGATAAATTTCCAAAACTTGATGCACGATTATTGAAATTGATAGTTTCCAGATTAGGAAGTATTGGTTCTGGCAAATCTATGAAATAATTTATTTATTGAGAAGTTGTATAATTTTCACATTAAATAAAATTTTTTAATCTTTAGATGATGAAAAGGTAAGCTTACCAGCTTTTCGTGCTAATAATGTTTCAATTGACACGTCTATCAGAGAGATTCAATTAGTTGATAAATAAATTATAATTAACATGAACAAAATTGTATAGACATTATTATTTACCCATATGTTTTTGCGCTAGTCCAACAAGTGCAAGTGCAGTATTAAATTCCCCTCTATTAACTCGAGAATTACTGGCTGGCACAGCTAAATTTAGGATCTAGAAAAAATCAAATGAATAAAAGCATGATCTACTACGTTTAATGCTCAAACCAAACAGCAATATAATCGATTTTTACCTTTTCAACCATTGCATGAGATTGCCCACTAATACTCAAAATTTTGTGAAGTGCTTGAACCGGTATTCTACCGCCTATCGGATGTGCAAGGTTGAAAGCATACGCATAAATTTCTGGAAGATCTACGTCCGCTACGATAAATAAATTAGTTTACATTTTTTAGTATATTCATTTTTTTATATATCATAAATACTTGATCAACAAAATTTTGATAATAAATCTAAAATTCTACCCAAAATATTTGCGGGGTCATTCACAACAGCCGGTGGATCCCAGGGATTTCCAATGTTGAAATTATCAGCTAGAAAAGAACTGGATAAAGATGGATTAACGTCCGCTGCAAGTTCTGAAACAGAGTTTGGTGTCGCTGTGCCAAAAAACGAATTTGATAACAGTTCGTCTTCGTCCATTGAGCAGATATTGTTATTGATATTATTATTGGACTAATTTATTTATATATATATTTTTTTATTTACTTGTTGAAAATTCTTTAGTTAATTTAGTTAGCAATATTAGAACCCATAGAATTTATTTGCGTAAATTTATCAATTCACACAACCCAAAAATTGTTGGAGTGGGAAAAGAAACTTTTATATATCGACGATGATTTGCCAATAGAACTACTACGTATCACGACGTCCCCTGCAATATATTATTTATTACTTGATGCAAAGCAAGTATGTATGTCGATTATGTGGATGTATGCATGCATCAGTAGAACAAGCAACAAAATCATTGTCCAAAACAGTTTTAGCTGTAGATGTCGAAATATGCATTATTCGGTTGAACGCTTGTTCTGTCTAAGGGTTCGATCACGTATAATGATATCATTAAAAAAATACGGCTCCCTATTCCTATTCCCCTATTTCGAAAATAAATGTTAAATAAATGTATGACTAATAATAAAATCACCCCTAGCCACTTAATCACCTACATGTAATTTTTACGCGCGTTAACAAAGAAAGGCCATTTTATTAATTTTTTTTGACGCAATCGCCAGATTTAATAAAATCGCGACCTTGGATGAAAATGCTAAAAATGGCGTATATTACATTGTTCTTACAAGAGACAATACTTCTAAATATATTCTAAATATAATCTAATTAATACGCAAAAACTAAAATCGAGGCTGTATTTAGCCAATCAGATATTTCCCAGTCAGTCAGACATGAGATGCTGATAATCAGGATACTCGAAAAAAAAACGCGTTGATCATTTGTAAATTAAAGATTAGCATTTATTCACCTATAATTTCCACACTTACAAATCAACCATAATAGTTAAATTCAATGATTATTATTTATTTATTTATTTTATTTATTTAAAAGTCAATTTATCTTATCAATATTCTTTCTGTACATTTAGAATTCATTAACGGATCAAGTTTATGTGGATGGACTTACATATTATTTGATTTTACTGATTGGATCATATACCACCAACATATACCATATTCTCGGGGAACCGATTCTGGTGTCACGACTGAAAGGAGTCCGTTTGCAAGGTTGTACCTTGTGTGATTGGCATTGCGGCGAAATGGAGGAAGGGGTTGGCGGTCAGCAGCTAGAATGACTGATGCTCCAGACAGAGCGATGTTCGCAGCTGCATTTCTCGTGTTGTGCGCCATGCAGGCGAACAACAATCCGCTCCTTTCCGCTAACAATCCTGCGGGCTCGATGGAGAGAAACAGTATGTACAAGTCTTCGAAGAGTTGAACTCATTTACAATCGCTACGTTTCCGTAGCAACTGTGTTGTGCGAATTTTTCCATTCCTTGTTTAGAATGTCCTTTGATACAACTGTTGACTTCTTACCAATGTCCTTTCTCCGTTCCTGTGCTGTGGTTTTGCCGTGTAAGGTGTGATTTCTGGGTTATCCTCAGAGCTATCCTCAATAGAAGCAAGGATTCCGAAGCGTTTATATCAGCAAAGATGGTCTCAAGAGACCTTGGTTCGGTAATAGACGCTGTGACGGTGTCCGGTTCTCGAAAAAACAACTTTCTGCTGTGAAGAGAGATGCCCAAAGTTTTTTTCTTAGCCTCACCTGGTGGAATTGCATTCTCGGGAGTAATGGTAGTATTCGCAAAATTAGTTGCTCGCAGGGCCTTGTTCAGGGACAACGAGCTTCTGACCCTTGCAAGCACCTTTTTAATTTGAAAGCTTCAAGCTGTTTGACTGATATCTCTTGCTTGATTTTCTTCAGTCGTCGGATCCCGGATCCCATTTTGACCTCCTGACCTTCCGGCCAATGTCCATCCGATTCAACTCCAGTTGTGAAAGCTCTTTACGCAGAGACTTCAATGTGCTGGAGAAGTCTTTGACTTGTGACAACGCAAAAACTTACATTCAAATCCCAATAGTCATCATCACATTGATAACTATGCTTTGTATAGCAGATGGAACCTTTTCACTGGTTGATACCCTCTTCCGTTTATCCTCGCTTGGCTCAGCCGAGCCTGAAGGAGCCCGATCATCGCAGCAGGGGTGGTTGACTGAGGTTCCACATAGAAGACGTTCTATGTTTTGAAAGGCCGATTCTGAAGTGCCAATGGAACATACATTAGCAAAGTGATATAAGCGTATAGAATTCTATTGCTGTGAATTGTGGTTCATAGCCAAAGAATCTGAAAGAGAGAAAAATTCTTAAGCCACGGTTACAATATGCACAACAAAGAGATTTTTTTACTGGATCGGAAAAAGGCGATCTGTTGTTACGTGAGGTAATTAATAAAGGTTAATTGCGGATCTTTTGGATTATAGGGTTGGGAGAGTGTTTATTGTGTAAAGTCGTGTGGATTTTGGTTTCTGTGCCGATATCTACGGATATCATTGAGTAAAAGCGAATGTGGGGGAACAAAGGGGCGACAATACTCCTGCGTGGTTTCCTCCCTAAGCTTGATTACAATTCTAACGGATGCTTTTCTAGATAAAAGCCTTAAACTCTTCAATCTAAAAATCTGGCTAACAACAATATCTCTCGATTACAATGCCTTTTCTGGCGTAAAGTACCTAACCAACAAACGGAATTACGGGTCGATAAACGTTTCTTTTACAATAAGCAATGGGTCAAAACAATTATTATTATTTCTTTTTAATTACGGATTGTTAATTATTTTTTATTTTAATTTTGCAGGAGCAGTTCTATACATTCTTAAATACATTTTTAAGACTTCGCAATTAATTATGCAAGCTATTTATTGTTAAGATAGAAATTAAGAAGAATAATAAATAAGAAAAACAATTGAAAGAAAAATAATTTTTGTGAAAGAATTTCCCAAAGAATAATAAATAGAACTTGATCAAATGTAAAATACGACTTTTGGATAAAACGTGAAATAGTAAAAGTTACGCGAACGATCTTGACTAAATTTGGCCAACAGATCTTACCCGAATTCGGGGATTCAATCCGGATCCAGATCATGTGAAAATAAGTATATGTAAAAAATATATATGATAAATAATGATTGACTGAATAATTTTGATCAACAGACAATCCATAATATTGATTAATTAATAATTAAGAATAAAGCTCATTTATTTTTTTGTGAAAAATAATAATAATAAATATAATTATAAACTTGTAAAATAATAAATTATTATATTGTAATTTTAAAAATTAAATTCAATAACTTATTTAAATATATAATAAATGCTTTAATAATATTATTATCATTTTTATTCTCAATTTTCTAATACTTATTTCATATTCTTTCTAAAAGCTTATTTATCTATAATCTTCACATCTTTATTTTTTTCTTTACTTAAGTTTAAATAAACTTAAATATTTTAATTATTTTATAGTATTATAATTAATCACCTATTCATATGATGCAGTAGATATGATATAGTATATGATATAGTCACAGCATGTAATGCAGTAATTACTAATTATTACTAAATTAGGTGAATAAGTAATTTATATTAATTAATCTTATTTATAACTAATTCTATTTTTAGTTTATATTATTATTTATATTTAGTCTTATTCTTTTATTAATTTAGTCATATGTATCACACCTATTTTATAGTTTTATTAAATTAATAATTTTCTAATTAATTATTATTAATTTTCTTTCTTTTCTCATTTTAGCTTTAAATAACTTAATATTTTACTAATTTTAAATTC